TCGATCATAGATATAGGTCAACTGACCTCACGTGATTAACCTAACCCGATTAGGATGGTGAGCCGAACCTTTTTCAGGGTCAGCCGAGCTGTCACCACGCGACAGTAGTCTAGCTTTCACGTGAAAATTGTGGCTTTTTTCGCGACACAAAAACAACGCGAACTAAACACGTGTAGCTTACCACCAAATGTACCTTTAAACATGGTCACCATTTGATCTCCCTTAACCCTCCACGTCTCCCTTAACCCTCCATGTCTCCCTTAACCCTCCATGTTTCCCTGTCTTCCGTAGCATAACGCTAGAACCCGTATAACTCGCATCAGGACCCGGCCGTACAAGCGTAATAATGGTACGAGCTAGCTACACAGTCACGATAAGGTACAGTCCGCTAACCAGAGCAGTCATCAAAACGCGAATCGCTCGTCGTCCTCGATATGAATCGGCTTTATTCCGTGGGAGAAATCAGAGCTATCATCGAGGCACGTAAGGCCGACTTGAAGAAACAAGGAATGGAAGTCACCGACGATACCATCATTCAATGGGGAGAGAAAAAGCGCAAGTCCGACGTAGCCAGCCTTGACGATAAGGCGTCCGCAGAGTCACCTGATGAATACTCTGACGAGGATGAACCAATTTCTATTAAAGAGAACTGTGACCAGATACGGAGCAAGATCAATACTTTCATAGACAATGGCGGTATGAAGGTCACCGAGTTCCAGGAAGTCATTGGAGTCAGTGCCTCCAGCTACTATGGCTTCATGAAACAGAAGGGCAAGGACAAGGGTAGCTCTAGCGGTACCTATATCAAAGCAGCCCAATTTTTCCAGAAGCGTGAACCCAAGAGGCTGCCCATGCCGAAGAAGAGGAAAGTGTCCGATTCAAAAGCAGCTTCGGGCGAAAAGAACCCTGAAGGCGCCGCGCCCAAAGCCAATAACATGGTCAAATCCAAGAATTCGACTGCTCTTGATATTTCAAGCATTTCTCTCGATGGCGAGGACACTGACTCCGTCCCTATTTTTGACTCCCCTGGAGAGATCCGCCGAAAGATCAGTCTTTACCTTCGTAAGGACTGCGTCACCCAAGCGGCTTTTCTCCGCGAGCTCCACGCCCAGATGCACGGTCCGCGCAAGCTGGCGAGGATGCAAAGCTCCCAGCTCACCAACTTCAGAGGCAAGAGGGAACCGATGGGAGGTAACCAATCCGGCATCTACTATGCTGCTTACGTCTTTTTCGAGAAGCAGCGCTTGGCCGCGAACAAGCCAAAATCCCAGCATCGCCTCGAAATGGAAGAAGTGTGGGGGGGTAGAGGAGGTGTCGATGTCAAAAGGAATCTAGTCAACCAGCGTATCCTCTGTATGCCCAATCAACGGCCCTCTGCGGACAAATTTGGTCGCGTCTTGGTAGTCCAACGCTGATGAAATTGATTCCCGATATAGTCTTTCATTTGCTGTTGTCTGTTACTGGCGTTGATGGTTGTTCTTCTTTCTGTCAATTACACTCATCGTATATTAAGGTGTACATATGCTATTGTATTATGTATCTAGACATAAGTAGAGAGAAAATGAAAGTTCAGTATCAAACCTGTAGTAACTGCCAGATGTTCAGGAGTCTCTCAACCATAGTCCCTAAATGCCCAAGTTCAAATAAATCGGACCAAGGGATATAACTGTGACCGCTTGGTGTAAAAAGCTAAGGACGTATTCCGGTCAAGTCCAAAATCGCCGTATAAATACCAATGATTGTTTGCTAACATGGAGCGTGAGCGTTAAATCGAAAAGAGGCCTGAGATCGTTTGCGTAATCCTTGGCGGTGCCTGACTTTGGACTTGAGCATGTTGAAGTGGTACTGAATATGGGCATCAACAACTTGCCAGGACATCTTGGAGACTGACCGGTCCCATTTCCGGTAACACTTCCCCCAAAATACATACACATAAATACACACTCAATCAGTTTAGTCTGTTCTTTGTGAGGAAGGCTTAGTAGAGGGCTCCCGCTAGATTCGCGGGTCCGAGGCTCGTATGTATTTAAGTTATCTTCATCTGGCTACTAGCTAGATCTCTTTTCCTAGACAATGGGAATCGTTAATACCAATTTGCGTTATGACTCTACAGTAACTGAGCTTAAGCAGCAATCGTGCTTAATCATCATACCCGCATAAATGCAACAATTCCCCACATGGGCCTCGCAGAGAGGCCCGACGGGCGTATGAATCTCTCTCTCTCTGTCAAGGTTAGCTAGTCCTGGGTGATATTGGATTGCTGTAGGCAACTGAATAGATCAAGAAGTCTGTACCAACGTATTTGTATTGTATATAATGGTGTAAATGTGTAACAGCGCGAATCGCTACTGTGATGGATCAGAGGTCCGCAGACCTGGATGCCTTGTGGCCTTGTGGCCCGTTTGCTCTGTAAACACCAGAATAGATAAACGCCTCGCACACCTTAGATAGATTCCTCCTTCATAGCAACAATTCAATGTTTGCCTCACGATTGGAGATTCCCGATAGTGAGACTCTTACACTTTATTGCTATCTTCTCTATAAGTATTTACTTATTCGGAATATATTAATTGATTGAGAATCATTGAAATTAGTAGTTCAGTACTCTGATTAGTCACGCTATAACTAGGACCTATCGAAAGAAAGACCTATAAAGAACCGGAATTACCGAACCGACAAATCAAGATATTAGAACCCTATCGATCCTTATCGGCGTATAGATCGGCTGAACAAGAATCGGAATTCGAGCCGCAGGCTCAGCAAGAGATACAAGATATAGGCCTTGTCTACTTCGTAGCTGGCAGGTTTAAGAAACAGGGGCCAGGTGGGCGTTGTGGCTTTTCTATTATTAGAAACCTGCCAAAACGGCCAATGTCTACCCACTGGCAGGTTCGGAAGCTGCAGGTTCTTACTGTGTAGTCATGTTCCCAAGTCACGATGTGTGACTTCGCATAATAGCTTCAAATTCCAAACTGACCTCTCTTAGCCATCCACCCTGCAGCTACATCCCAGCCACGTGACCTAGGAATACTATGCTCTAATTAGTCTATTTCGAAAATCCCTAAAGCGTGGGCACCCCT